GCCTGCCTGCCTGCTCTCTCACCCACCCTTCCGCCATCCTGCTTCTGCCAACTTGGCTTTTGGCTCTTAACTATTAGTGCCGACAGATAGGTTCATGCTAATTCATGACAAACATGTCCATGCTGATGAAGCATGAGCATGGCCATAAATACCGCCAGGTTCATCCAAGCTTCAACAGAGACATATCACCGGCAGGGCCTCCTCTCAACTGCCCTTCTGATAACATCGGTTTTAGTTCACCTGTGCTCCATACATGATACGGAGACCACCTCCAATAAAGAAATTTGGACATTTATCTCAGTAAATGCTCATCTGGAAATTTGGCCGGCCAAAGAGTTTTGCAATGAAATTTCCAAATTCTTTTCCCCCTCTGTTCGTTTCATTTTTGTTTCCTTTTCCTTCTGTACGATGTTCATTTCTTCATCCCAGCGCTGCAAGGAGCGAGAGCAAACACAAGACGGCTCAACGGTGTCTGACCCTATCTGGGTGTACTCACAGAGGAACTGGTGGCTTGATCTCTGGACGTAATTGTGGTCACAGAAATCCAGGAAAGTCGTAATGCTCTCGGTTGTCCCAGATGCAATGCACATTGTTCATTAATAACCTGAGAAAGAGTTTTGAAGAACGAGACCAGAGAGCAAGCTGCGAACGAGGGCGGCGGGGGGCTGCTCCCTATTTTTCAAGGGACCATTGAGCAACACTTTCAAGGCTGTTGAACGGCAAAGGACTCATGAAGGGGTTCTGTTGATGGAAGGGGGTACTGATTACCGGCTCAGCGATGATGAAGTCATCCGTTAGCCCGTCGCGCAGCAAAGCCACCTCCCTCTCCCACAACTCGTCCATAAGGCTGCTGATCTCTGCGTCAGATGCTTTTAACCTGTCCAACACAGAACTCCCTGGCTCTTCATTGTCATCATCAAGACCCCATTTGTTCCCTGCTCCTATCAGATCCCTCTGACACATTCTTTCTCTTCTGTTGCTGTTTCTCCGCCATCTGACGAAGTTGGCCTTCTCCTCTGAACTGGCCCATGCTTCCGTCGCGGCCAACGCCCGGTCGCTGCTAGGACTTCCTATCTCATTATCTTGATTGCTGTCTTCTATTCTTAAAGTTCCCCCTTTGCTGCTCTTCCCAGGCAATTGCTCCCTGTAGGGCTCTGCTCCCGGGTCAACACAACTTCTACCAGCCGTCGATCGGAACTCTAGCCGACTTGATGACAAATCTTCTTCACCGTCATCAGAGCAGTCATTGTGCTCTTTCATACTGCTGCAGTATTGCATCCTTGACTGTTCCTTCTCTGCTGCACATTGTTTCGCAGATTTGTCGGGACCTCGTGGTCTTCCTTTCCAGTCCCTCTTGTCACGCTTGGTGCCATTGCCGTCCACGCCATCAGGACCGGCCAGGCTGCCCTTGGTGTCCGACACCTGGACCATGGAGACTGGGACCGTGGAGACCGGGACCGTGGAGACAGGGGCCATGGAGATGGCGACTGTGCTGGAGACTGGGACCTCATTGGTTCTGGTATTGCAAGCTGAACAGTTCGTTGTTGAGGAACCGGCTTCATTTCCAGTTGCAAGTGAAGCACCGCATGTCCTGCCTTGCTGCAGCTCATCGTCACCATCAGTATCGTAATCACGTTCTTCCATCTCCACATCCTCATCATCCATATCTGATGATGATGATGATGATGATGATGATGATGATGATGATGATGATGATGATGATGATGATGATGACGACGATGACAAGGAGGCGGATGAAATCATTACGGAATTGGAATCTTCTTGGTCAATTGGTCGGCCGTCCAAGGACTCAAGCTGCAACATATCTCCAGAAATGTCAAGTCAGTCCTCAGGAATTGTAGAGTACAGAAAAAAAAGGGAAGGAAAAAGGTTCAAAAAATAAAAAAAAAAGCAAATATCACTTCATTGGAAAAAATGTCAAGTTAGTCCTCAACAAAGACCCTTCAACATGTTCTCTCTCTAAACATCCTTATAAGTTATAAACCACTAGCGCCTGCAGACCGACTTTCACCGGCAGGCAAACTTCCCATCGAGCACAAATTGAACCATCTGCAGCCTGGCCTGTGCATAGAAAGTCCAGCCTCCATTTTGGAATCAGACTTGTCTCAATCTTACTTGCAACATGCATACATGGATGTGCCGACGGCAAAACAACCTCGTCAACGCAGAATTAGCATCGAACTTGTGATGGTGCACTGCGCCCACACAGAAAACTCAGAGATATGGCCTCTGGCCAGGAACTCAGCTTAAGTCAACTTGTTACATCTAGCGGCTATGGCAGCTGAATGCTGTCTGAATTCCCACCTGTACACTGTCTCCACCATCAGACTCCTCGCACTCACTCACGCACATGCACACACTCGGATCTGCCCTGAATGTCCACGCACTCACACACACACACAACGTCCTATCTGTTGACGTCATCTCTGGGCGGCTATGGCCGTCGTCGTCTTCCTCCTCTACTAGCGGCTATGGCCGCTGCCCTTTTCTTCATCTGGCACCTGCAGACCTCCAACGCACAAGTCACACTAGCAGAGCTTCCACATGGCTCGCAGGCGAATGAATGAATGGCTGAACGCTGCCTCTTTATTTATACTGTTTGGCTGGTGGTCTGGCCTGCCACCAGTCCCAGGCCCAAACGTGTGCAGCCCCACCTGGTACTTGCTGACTAGACAAGGTGGACTGGGACTGGGAACTGCTGACTGGACTAGGTAGACTGACCGACTGACTTTTACAGTTTTGAAAGGTCAAGTTGACGCTTCTAGAACTTCCTAGGCTAATGTAGACTGGCCCTTCGCTGTACGTAGGACTAACCTTCCGGACTGACCCTAAGACTATTAATCCTATAGTCTACGGTTCAAGTCCCCACGACCCAACTAGCATGCAGAACGACGATCTACGACTTTAAGGGACAGGTCGTGGGTTCGAGACACACAGGGTCAACGGGTAGATGTACAGGGGGTATGGGTAGGTCTAGGGATCGAGCCCTGGGATCTGTACTGTCGCGGGAACTGGGTGAAACCGTTTCACTCCCTCCGTCCCAAATTAGAGGTCCTCCGAGAACTCTCTAATCCAAGGCAGGACCTTTACCCTTTCTTGTCCTCTCATAGGCATGCACTATGTCGGAAGCGGTCTCTAGAAGCTCAGGTCTGGTGAACCATATGTCGTCCTCAGGTTCCTGGTAAGCAAACCTAACTTTATATAGCTTCTAGGGATGACCCCGACATCTAGTCCTGAAAACGTCTTCTTCCACTATGCAGTCTATGTTATATCTGCCATCCATATCTGGCTGGATCATAGATCTCCGCGAAGGAAACTGTTCGCTGGTCATACACGACAACAACTTTGACGGATGAAAGATCGGATACATATGGAGGTGCGGTGGTATCTCTATGGTGTGCGATGGTCCGTCCTCTCCTCCTTTGACTTCTAGGACAGGCCATGGCCCTCTGTAGGCGAGCAAGAGCTTCTGTGAGATGTTTTCCTCTGGTGCGAATTCCTTAGACTTGACCCACACTAAGTCACCTACCTGAAGCTCTGAAGGTTGGCGATGCTTGTTTGCTTGTTCAATCATGCGAAGCTGGGCCTTTCTGAGGTTTTCGACCACCCTAGTGACTTCCTTTTCGTGCTGCGAAGCAAATTCTCTAGTACTGGGAGGTAACCTCTGAATCTGGTCCCGGTTCAGTCCCTCAAATGGCCTACGTGGTCTAAAAGACTTATGCAGCTCATTGGGAGTTCTGCAGGTAGCTAGATGTACACTGTTGATATAAGCGCTAGCTACCTTGGGAAGCATCTCATCCCAGTTTACTTGGTCTGATCGAATACACATTCTGAGTAGTTGCTACATGATCTTATTCATCTGCTTTGTCTGGCCATTCATCTCTGGATGACGACCTGATGACACTAACAACTTAGAATCGTAAACTTTCATAAGATCCTGCCAGTTCTGGCTGGTAAACCGCGTGTTTCGGTCATTGGACAACGGTATCCCATGCTCACTTACCCAAAATTCGAAAAACTTCTCTATAACTAAGTCTGTTCTTGCCTCTGAACGCAAAGGTACGAAAACTGCATACTTGCTAAACCGGTCTATTATGACCATGACTTGGCTTTTGCCATGCCTACTACTGACTCCGGTATCCATAAAATCAATGGAAACTGACTCTCCGGGTCCTGTAGGGATAAGCAAGGGTCTAAGGAGACCTTAAAGCTGCTCGTGTTGTTGTCTTGTTGCACTGGTAAACTTTGCAACTGCGAATATACTCTATGCCGTCTGCCTTCATGCCACGCCATATATACGACATCATGAGGTTCGCCAAAGTCTTTTGCCAACCAAAGTGCCCTTTTGTATCATGGCATTCCCCTAAGATCAAGCTACGGATCTCCTCATTATTGGGGACACAAAGTCTGTCAACGACATTGGTATTCTCAAACAGTAGCCCATTCGTGGTTCGATAATGTGGCTTAATATCAGGGGTTTCTTTCACTCGCTTCAGTAAATCGCTGTAAATTGGATCCTGAGCATACACATCATTTACCCTTTTCTGCAGGTTCGCCCCTATATCCAGATAGTGTATTATCACGACGAAGTAATCTGCCGTTCTGCTTAGCACATCGGCTACTATGTTGTACTTACCTTTAACGGGTTTGAGCTCAAAGTCAAATTGATCTATCTCAGCAGCCCACCTAGTGAACTTGGGCTTCATCTTAGCTTGCGTCTTCAACCATCTCAGCGTTCCGTGATCTGAGTAGACTTTGAAGTGCCTCCCAAGCAGGTAATGCCTCCAATGGTCCAAGGCCTGCCTGAGAGCGTAGAGTTCTCTCTCGTGTGTCGAGGCTGCAACTTTTTATGAGGGCAACCTCACTGACATGAACTATACGGGTCTATAGTCGTTGTCGTCGTCTTGCTGTAGCACAACACCTATGCCATACTGACTTGCATCTGTAGTGACGACAAAAGGCAAAAAAAGATCGACTACTTTGAGGACAGGGTACTCTACCAAGGCCCTCTTCAATTTCTTCAAGGCCAAGGTGCAATCTTGATCCCACTTCCAGATTGCTTCTTTCTTCAAGAGTCTGCAAAGGGGAGTAGCGATAGTGGAGAAGTTCCTAACAAACTTCCTATAATAGTTGGCCAGTCCTAAGAACGATTGCAACTCAGTCAGAGTGTGAGGAGTTGGATAGCCTCGAATCGTTGCTATCTTATCGTCCTCTGGTCTAATGCCATCTCCATCCAGTACGTGGCCCAAGTAAAGAACTTTTGTCTTGGCCCCTTCACACTTCTTCGCGTTGATCTTGAAGTTAGCCTCTCTCAACTTCTCCAAGATCTGCCTCAGATGACCCTCATGTTCTTGGAGGGTCTTACTGAAAATTGGAATATCATCTAAGTAGACTACGACGAACCTATCTAGCCATGGTCTAAACAAGTCGTTCATACAGCGCTGGAATGTGGCTACTAGTTAGTCCAAAGGGCATCACTATAGACTCATAATGCCCATACCTAGTCTGAAACGTCGTCTTGTACTGATCATCAGGGTGTACCTCTATCTGATGGTACCCTGATTTCAGATCCATCTTTGTGAAGTACTTACAACCTTGCACTGGATCCAACAGGTCATCTATGCGGGGCAATGGTTTTGCATTTTTGACTGTTATGGCGTTCAGACTCCTGTAGTCTATACACATTCTTAATTAGGGACAAATAGGACAGGTGCGCCAAAAGGAGATGAGCTCGGTTTAATCCATCCCTTGTCGAGGAGCTCGTCTAATTGCTTACACGGCTCCTCCAGTTCCTTGGGAGACATCATGTAGACTGCTCCCTTAGGCAAAAAAAAAATAAAAAATATTGCTAGGTTCGATCTCTATGATGTTGAATTGGTTTGGGCACTACCCCTGAGGGTGCCTCCAATAAATCCTTGTACTTGTTCAGCAAGCTGGCGATAGTGGGATGGATCTTCTCTTCCTCCTTTGGCGTGTCCGTGATTGGCCTAATGTAGGCGACGAACATTTGTTCCTGGAGCTGCTCCTTTCTGACAAGTCTCACGAATGCAGGAGCGCTGAGGCAACAGTGTGCCAGGGATTTGTCTACCCCTAGCGCATGAAACAGGTGGGCTTTCTTGACCCCACCTGACGGACTAGGGAGCCTGCACAAGTGCTCTCTAAGGTGCAATGCGGCCTCAACTGCCTCTCCCCAATCTGTTCTAAGAACTACATCAAATGGGAGGTTCTCTTCTACGAGGAGAGTCAGGGAGTGAAGGACTTTCTCTACCTTACCCCCTTGCTCTATGCGAAAATACGCATGGACTCCCTCTACGTACTCCTCGATCCGCATGGTGTGGTTGTCTGCGAGGATACTGACTACAGGTTCCTTTAGCTTTTGGACTTTAAGGCCTAGCCACAACTTCTTCAGCGCTCTACGACTAATGTAGCTTCTGGTGGCCCCACTGTCTATAAGGGCCCCTACTCTAGCTCTAAAGATCTCCACATCTATTAGGATGAGCTGCCCTTTTTCATCTTTCTTCATTTTGGCCCAGGCTTGCCTTCTCTCCTTCAATTCTTCGGTTAAGCCTGTGAGGGCAACACTTCCATGGAGACATGTGGAGTGGGAGTTTTTGTGGTGCACGCATGCTCATCTCCACGTACTCCTGGGGTAGGGGCAGTTGCTACCTCTACCGGCGGTTGCCTTTTGCTGCCCCAGATGCAACACGATCCCTATACCTTGGGCAGAATTTGATGACGTGCCCAGGGTCTCCACAGAACATGCATTCATATTTGTCAACACGGTCTTGCCACACACGTTGCCCTACTCCCAAGGACTCCCAGGGTCGCCCTTTCGGCCTTCCTGGGTGCCATCCTACTCTTCTGGGAGGTGACCGACTGAAACACGGGCGGTTAGATGGGGGACCTTGACCCCTTCCTCCTGCTTGGCGGTCCTTGTTGTCGCCAACCCCCTGACCGCTCTGTCCTCGACCACCTCAGGTCTGGCCATTCCTGCCTTGGCCTCGTCCTCCTCCTTGCGGCCTCCCTTCGGCCGCGACAACAACGTAGGTACTCCCCTTCTCTACCCTATTATCTTCCTCTGCTTCTAGTCCCCATTTGATATCACTGTACGGGACTTCATCCGCACCACCTTCTTCCATTGTTAAGATCAAACTATCTTTGGCCTTGACCTGGCCAGAGATGGTGCGTCCTTTCCACTTTTTCCCCTTTGTCAGATGCTTACACCAGAAAGCGGTAATTGGCATAGCTTGGGCAGCGAATGTGATAGCCTCCCTACCAAGGACATCGTATGTCATTCCGGGTTGTTGTTTTTTAGAAAAGAAGTACCCTTGCACTTGCTCGGGCAATGCACGGTAAAAGAGTTGGACGAGCTGGGCCTCAGGCACTCCGTGTCCAGGCACAGCGATAAACCCGTCCATAGTGGCCTTTAGAGTGTGAACGCTCCTCCATTGCCGCATGTGAATCATCTGAAGTTTATCAGACGTTCTAATTCCACTAGTGGCGTCTGCAAATCGTTCTCGCAGTGCAGCGGGAAAGTAAGAGAGATGGGTAACGACTGAGTATTGGACCATGTTATTCTCGCAGTGAGTTGCGTGTGCACGCAATCGTGCGAAGCTGGTCGCTTCCTCTCTAAGAGTCTGAAAGGCTACTAAGACATGGTCCTCGGGGTCTATACCCTGTAAATACATATACGATTTGACATTGGTCTCCCAATTGTCAAAGTCCTCCCCTTTTTTCCCACTGAGTGGCTCGGAAAACCGGACCTTGACCTTTTTTGCGGCGGGGTCTGGGCTCTTCTTCTTTAGGAGCCGCTATCTTGGCGCCCTCTATGGTGCTTGTACAAAATGTCTCTGTCTTTCCTATCGCTCTGTAAATCTCCCCAACTAAATGGGTCATCATTTCTTGCGCAAATTCTCGAAACTCGACTCGTACGGACTCGAGCGCGATATCATAGCCGCGAATATGTTTCAATTGTTCTTTCTGGGCGGTTAGTATAGACTCTACGCTTTGGGACAGGGTATCGATCTTCTTTTCTACCTCTGTCTCATCCTTGATCTTCCCCATCCTTGATCTTCCCCATCCTAGTCTTTGTCGCCTTTAACTCCTTTTCCATCCTCTCTGCCACCTCTAAGTGCCTTGTCCTTTCTTGTGCTATGCACAACTTCCACTCCAGATGTTTTTCCTGTTCCCTTGCTTGTCAGCGCAAGGAATCCCTCTCTCCTTCCAGCTCTGTTATTACTGCCTCCCTCTCTATTTGGGGAATCAGTAGCTCTGACTCTTTATCTTCCCCCAGTGATAAGTTAGGTACCTATTCCTTTACTGCCTTCTCCACCTCTTCTAGTGGGCTCCTACTGGAACTTGTCTCCCCCCTTCTCCGGACCAAAGCCTCTTCTTCTTCAACCTCTTCTTCTTCTTCTTTTGCCTCCACTGCAGCCAACTTTGCCTCTTGCTCTCTCTTCCACTTCTCCATTTCTTCTTCCATCTGCTTCCTTTTGGTTGCTTCCTCTTCCAACAAGGTCAATTTCTTTGCCTACCTGATCAACTCTTTCTTCTCCATCGTCTCCTTCTTCTCACAGACAATTGTGGCAGCCCTCTCTTCCTATGCCTTACTATAGGGGGTGGTGCTCGTTCCGGTCCTGTTGGTCACCATGTTGACAGGTGCACAATCACTGACAATTCCACTCCTCAACACGTAGACCAACCCTTTGGACTCTGACTCTCTATAGGACTACAAAGATCTCCCTTCTGCTTTAGACAGGTTACCACAGCTGCCGGATGCTTTCGCAACCACAGTCACCAATCTTTCCACTGCCGACGGATGTGAGCGCAACCACAGTCACCAGTCTTTCCACAGTTGCTGGATGCTTTCACAACTACAATCACCAATCTTTCCACTGCCGACGGATGCGCTCACAACCACAGTCACGGAAACTCGCCTGGCTTCCGCTTCAGGTCGGCACTTTGTCAACTATTCGATTCTAGCCTCAACTACACTAGTCTGTCACTACAGGACTATTGGCTGATCAGGAGGCATTTAAGGAGATCTCCCATAACTCCTCAAGAATTCTTTAACGTCGCAAACAAGACAACGATCACAGCCAAAGTCCTCTCAAGACTTAGATAGACTGGACACCCGCTCTGCAGCTCGGAGTTCGGGTATAGTGTACCACCCAGAGCAACTTGTCGGTCTGTACCGGTCCTTTGGGTGTTTTCCTAGGTCGTCTAGCGTCAGATACACCTCAACCCCTACTAAGTCTCGTGCAGACACTGGCTCAAGACCACATGCACAAAACCTATCGATCTGGATAAAAGCGACTTGATGCAGAAAGAGATGACAACTAACTCTCAGCAAGTATCAAGGTGAGTGTGCATCATCCACAGGGCATAGGGACAAGGGCTAGGGCTTGAAGGGATTATACCGCTCCTTGCTCCGCACTCCAGCTTGGTCAACGAAACGGTTAACGCTCGCCAGTCAACACTGGTCAATCGCTTGGTCAATCGCTCGGTCAAACCTCACCAGTCAACTCCCCAGTCAACGCCGGTCAGCTTTGGTCAATGTCGGTCAGCTCCGGTCAATGTTGGCTATGACGGCTTCTTCTCCCTCAGTCAACTTCGTCAACTTCGCTCTCTTTCTCCTTTGTCCTTAAGCTCGGCTATGGCCGACTTCTCTCTCCTCTTGGCCGGCTATGGCCTCCTTCA